CCCTGCCACTGGCGCTGCAGGTGCGGAGCACCGGCGCCCCGGTCGTGTCCCTGCAGAACGGGAAGGCGACCGCCCGCGTCGGCGCCTCCATCGCCGTGCTCGCCCAGCAACCCGGCTCCCCGCCGCAGCCCCTCTTCACCCTCGACGCGGTATGTGCCAGCACGGGAGCTCGCCTCCCGCCTCCCTCCTCCCTCTGCATCTCCAAGGGAAACGCGGATGCAGCGGTGCCTCACTCTCACTGTCCGGAAGCAACGTGATGACTTTTGGATTTGGATGAGGCCTTATGAAGTAGGACGTGTCACAAGTTTTACTGTTCTCTGGCATCCGCTTAGACTTTTCGGCCCTTATGCATATAGTACTTGTACTTTTGAATTTATTATGTCTTTTAAATGGTGGTGCCCAATCCTTTTAAAACGCACATAACAAAGCACAAGTGAAATATTTGGTGAATAATTCAAAATACAGACAGGAAGTCGGAATCCTCGGGAGAAAGATCAATGGTGCCATCTGTCAAAAAATGTTGTTTCTAGACACAGGGAGGTGTTCATTCTTGGACAGGGTTATTTACAAATATTCTGGGTTTTCTTTTCAGTCTCAGGAAGCAGACAGGGGAATAACTTCATTTATTTTGTTGTTCCAATTTCAGGACATCAATCTGAATGTTGCTGCATCTATCTCAGGCAACAAACTACAAACCACCTTGGCTGTTGACAGGTAGGCCAGAGTGTTGTGTGAATGAAGGGAAGAGGCGATGCCTTGGTGCCAAGGAGGGAGCAGGCAAGAGGGCTCTGGTGCCAGTTAACAGGGAAGCACAATGTAAATGTGATAGAAATGTAAAAGGCTACCGGAGCTTTATTTCATCTTCCTAGAGCTAACTGTAGATGAAGTGTATAACCGAAGTAATGAGAGACTTTAAAAAAAAAAAAAAAGTTCCCCTTTTTTAATTCAAAATCATTATATCCCTCTGTGTATAAGACAAATTTCAGGCCAAACAAGATTGGAGCACCATTCTGAAGGTTTGGGGCTTCAGTCGATATATCGCACCCCTGACTCTTCCTTTTTTTTTTTTTTTTTTTTAATCTTTTGGTAGCGTCACCCTGAGACTGGCAGGTTCGAGAATTGGCAATATCAATGTAAGTTCGCAGGCCTTGTGAACTACACTCTGCAGCAAGTGATTTGATGATCAGAAATGATATGCAGGGAAGAAGGTCCAAAAATTTAATTCTTTCTGAGTCTTCACATTTTTATTCTTTTGGCAGAGAATTATTGTTGACTGATCTGTTGATTCACACACCCATTATAGTCTGTAATAATGACACTTGAATATATATGTTCACTTCTGATGTTGGGAGCATACTGTGAGTGCTGAAGAGGGAAGAAGGAAGAATCAAGAATAAATCACTTGAAGAGTATTTCATTGTGTACCACCCCCATACTCATTCCTGGAAGAGTTTTACTTAAGGAAATGTTCTCACATTTGCATTTTACAGTTCCTAGCATCCTGCACTGACAGAACTTAATTTAAAAGCTTGACATTGCTCAGTTTTCATTCTAGTAATCATTACACTCTCCTTCAGATATTAATGCGTGTCTTCTTCCCCTGCAGGTCTCCCTTCTTGAAAGATGGGTGAAGGACGTCCTTGAGGCCGCTTATCTACCTGCGATTAACAGTACGGCTGGGGTTTGAACCCCCTCCTCTTTGCAGCTCCGCCTGCATTTCAGGACTCTCTTCCCTTCCTCCCTTGGTTGCGTTCAGGGTTTCACCTCTGGGATAACCTGTTTCTCCTTGTTTTTGCAGACGCTGTCAGAGTGGGGATCCCTCTGCCTAACCTCTTCAACGCGAACTTCGAGGGTGCTGATGTTGATGTCGTTGATGTAAGGACCTGATTTTTTAACCGTGTTCTCCCTGGAGAGTTGTAGAATGAGCCAACCCTGGGGCAAGGGCATGTAGAGTTGTTAATCTCTTGCAGTCCCTCCCCAACCCGTTTCCTATGAGTTGTTGTTCATTTTTAAAAGGTCTCTCTGCCTATGTGGACCCAGTGATGAAGCTTGCTGAGCAGGATATAGGGAAAAGCTGGTGAAAATCCAAGTGAGAAAAATGATTTGTTTTTCTGCTGTTTCTTCCTGGCAGAATGCTTTCATGATCTCTCAGACCCGCAGAACGTCCTAAAAAGAGCCTGTTTCAGAGGAACCTCCACCCTGCTCCTTGGATGAGGCAGAGAATTCACTGCAAAGAATCTCGGCTGTCTTTATTTTCTCTTGGGTGTTGTCCTGTGTTAGCACCATGGCCTGAGGGAGAAGGTGATTCAGTTTCTGGTCAACGAGCTCTGTTGTAGACTAGCAGTGGGGTTTGGAAAAGTTGCTTAGCAGATTCAGATCTAAGAGGGGGGATTTTCTGTGGCCTCTTTTAACTTGGTAAGTTTGGAGCCCGAGCTCATTTTTAGATATAAAGGATGTTGCTCTTGAATTGCTCTTGAATTGCTCTTTTAATAAAATATTTCACTGCCTCAATATTATTTTCTCTGAATGTTTATTCGATATGGTTTTCCAGGTGCCGGAAACCCGTTTCTGTCTCCCCTATATTGTATGACCCATAGAAAGACAACACATTTCAGAGAGGGGACTGTACCTCTAGTGAATAATTTGATATGCTGATACCTGCTGATAGGCAGCAAGCGACCCCTCTGCTCTTAGTTGTGCTCGTTGCTTCTTAGTCCCAGTCCTCATCATCCCTAACATGTCAGTGCTTCACAATCTGTAGGTTTCTAGTTATTTCCACCTCTCCTGTGTCAGCCCCGAGAGCCGAAGCGGTGTCCTCTCGCCCTTTGGCGAGAGGAGCGTCTCATCGGACGTGGCAGGGATGTCTCCAAAGGGCTGGTGGGCCGGGCCAGGCCCAGGAGCGACCTGCTTCCCAGGGAGCCGAGTGCCTGCTGGCTTGCTGCCCGTGGACCTCTGCAAGGTTTTGGCACTGCTGGCAATGACACTGAAGCCAACAGTTATTTCTTACCTGTAAGCGAAGCGAGGAGAGGAGAGGGAGGCTTATGGTCCAGGATATGGCAGCACAGGGAAGGCAGCGGTTTGGGGCCGCGAGGGCTCTCCTTGGAGCACGGCACTAGGGCTGCCCGAAATGTGAGGGACAGGGGAGACGTGCCTCCTTGATGGGGCGTCCCGTCCCCATGGCGGGGCGCTGGGAGGGCAGAGGCCGCTCGCAGCTCCACCACGGCTCAGGTCGAGCAGGCGGGCTCGCCTGCCGGCGGGCTGGGCTCCGGGGGCGGTGGCCCGAAC